CAGGGCGATCTTCGCGGACGTCCAGGAGCTGGAGGTCTCTTCGCCGCAGTGGTGGCGGCTGGCGACCACGCCCAAGCTGCGCGATCTGAGGAGGGCCCATGACATTCTGCTGCGGCAAGTCTGGTGGCTTTGGCTTTGGCTCGCTTTCTTCTTCGCCCAGTTACCCATACCCTGTGCCTCTGCCTCTGTCTGTCGCTTAGTCTCTATCTCTATTTGTTTCTCTGTCTGTCTCTCTCTCTCTTTCTCTCTCTCTATATATAGATAGATAGATATGTATACGTGTGTGTGTATGTGTATGTATGTATGTATATATGAAATGTGTGTGTGTGTGTGTGTGTGTGTGTGTGTGTGTGTGTGTGTGTGTGTGTGTGGTGTGGTGTGTGTGTGTGTGTGTGTGTGTGTGTTTGTGTGTGTGCGCGCGCGCGTGTGCGTGTGTGCGTGCGTGTCCGTGTGCGAGTGCGTGTGCATGTATGAAACACGCATGCCCCACCAGCCCTCCTGACGTCCGGATCCGTTTCCACAGCTTCGTGCAGTCGTCCGTGGCCGAGTCGGAGGCGGCACTCGAGACCCGCAGTCCCGACGCCGAGGGAGACGGGCTCACCCTCGTGGAAATGCTGCTCCTCGACCCTGAGCTGTCCCGCGAGGATGCCCATGCCTACCTCATGGACCTGCTCACGGCTGGGATAGACGCGGTGGGAATACGTGTGAAACAGCTGCCATTCGTTTCGCTTGCGTTTCCTCGCTTCACTTCTTGGCAAAGATAGGGTTGCTACTTGACGCTGTGCTTCTTAGTATTAAGAATAGCGTAAACTAATGGGAATATGTGCTTGTAAATTTGTATTATGCTTTCTAGTATCAAGATTTAATGGAAACGATGCTTATGGATATTCATAGTTTGTCAAGCTTTAGAAATGGTTTGAAATTCACAAAAAAAAACTTGTGATGGAGGGACTGCTAAGACATATATCCAAGAAAAGCTTGACATATTGTTCGAATTCATACGTATATTTGGATAGTCCAATTCCTAATGATTATATTAACTTTAAGGGATTTTATTTCCGGTTGGAAGGAACTAGCTGTTTAGTAGAAATGTTTTTGTTTTGTTTTTAATTATTATGAATAGGTTTGTAAAGGCTGATATTAGTATTAGTAGTCTATCTACCATAAATATCTCCTCTTTTTCTTTTAATTATCATGTTCCCTGATCCCTAATTTACTTTTGTCGCAAAATATATCCGTGATTGCCTTGGTAGGAGAAATACCACCGAAAAAATTAAGTTAAAAGTTGTAACCCTACTAACCCAAATTAAAAACCAATACATAAATAAAAATCGACCACAATTTCAGGTGGCCATAAAAGCGGCTTTTGTGCTGACGTTGCTAGCTCAGCATCCAGAGGAGCAGCAGAAAGTCCATGAGGAACTGGACGCGGTGCTCGGGGACGGGACGCAGCCTCTGACTCCTCAGCACCTCGCCAAACTCAGGTACACAAAAGCCTGCGTGAAAGAAGTGCTCAGGTAAGATGCTGGCTGGGATTGGCTGTGTGATATTTCGGTATATTTTGCAATATAATCTTATACATAATTAAAAAGAAAAAAGAATTCCGCGCGAAAAAAATGTGATGTTTTTTTCAGGATTTCTTCCCCATCAACACTAACTTCCAGACAACTTGTGGAAGATACAGTTATATGTGGTTACCTCGTGCCAAAGGGGGTAGGTTTGGTCTCATGTTATAGTTAATTAAGCATTTTCTATTCTGCAATGCATGATACACTTAGCCACTGACGCGATAAGTAGTTTGGGAAGTGTATTTAGCGACAAGTGGCTCCAGGTCTTAAAAAGCAATTGGTATGACTTTAAAGTCTTAAAACTGTCATAAATTTCAACAGCTTATGCCTGCACGAACCCTGTATAAACAAAATACTTTTATAAGATTTCAACTCATCAATCTCAGTTTCCTGAAGTTACAATCAACATTTACAGTCAAAAAAATATCCACATTTGCAGAACTGGTCTACCAATGACAGCTGGGGAACGACTACCTTAAGAACGCATGGTTTAAATAGTGGCCAAATTATGAATTATCAATACTGACACATAAGAAACATTTCATATACCATCAACTCACCCCATTTTTTGGTTGGTAAATAAGTTCAGACTTCCTGTTGAGTCCATTAAGAATAGATAAGGGTAGGTTTACATTAGGCTCCCGACGCCTAATGCTCGAACCGCAGTACGCCGTGGGATATTGCCCATTTTTCCCTCCGTATCCAAGGTACGTTAGGAGTAAATTTTTTCACGGTCTATCACGGTATCCACAACAAGCCGTGGGAGGAGGGGGAGAGACTGTTCTCGGAATCTCAAAGGCGCACTACGTTTCGATCCATGGTGTAACACGAATAGAAGCAGGTTTCCCTCAAGCCCATCTCGTTTTTCCCGTTCTGATAAAAAGTCTGACACTTTTTTCCCGTTTCGTCAAGGCTTTCTGCATGAGAAACGTGGACTTCGGACAGGTTTGGAGCACGTTTGTGGCCATGGTTTTGAAGGAAGTCCTCCAAACTAATAGCAATCACTATTCTAAAGCTGGTGATGATCCTGGGACCCCTTCCTGCAGATGCTTCCTCAAATTCCAGCTCCAGGTCTAGGTCAGCAGTTGCATTTGGTAGCAGTGAATCATCAGGCCCCAAGCCCTGCTCCTCTACCCTTGGCGGTGATGCAGGCCAAGGGACCTACCTGCCTTTTCAGTGGCTTAGCTCACGATAGACTATAACCTCCCTTGTCACGCTTGGCTTTTTACCTCTCCGAAGACTTTGCACGCTGGTAGTGTGACCGTTCACCGTCACACACCGGGATAAACACGATGAAACGGATACCATACACCCTAATTTACTGTTAGAACTGTTATAAAACTTGGCAAAACTTGACAAAACACGTACTAAGCTCGACATAATGTAACAAAGCTTGAAGGGACCGTGAGATTCCGGGAAAATGTACATGCTTTCCATCACACTACGGACCGCCTCCAAGATTTGATAAGGCCAAGTACATAGTTTTGTTGCGTTCATCCCGTTTTAGGGCCTACTAAGTTTTTCATTTACACCATGATTGCTGTGACATTTTGGAATTTTTAAAAATCTGTACCGGCATCCACGCCAATCCCGTTTTCAAAGGTTGTATCAAGGTTTTACTCCCATCCTGTTTTGTCCACGTACTCTGAAACGTGTTTGCCGTGACCGCCACGGGAACATCATGTAAACCCAGCATGAAGTTGGCGTCCCCTCGGCTCGTCCTCGGATTTTCGAATAATGTAGATGGTTGCCAAAATTCCGCGGAAAAGTCTCTTAGCTTTTAGGAAAGGCCAGCAGCACATAGATTCACAACGACGTTCCAGAGGCGAGTGGCGCCAGCACGCTCCTTCGACCGACGCCAAGTTTCCTCAACTGCAAGGCGACGTTGCCACATTATGAAAACTAGTCCCTAAATTAATCATCGTGAATTTGAATCGATGTTGCTATACCCACCAAATTAAGGTTTCTTGAATTTCTGTAAATAAAATATTTTCTGAGCCTGATTACTGGGATGATACTCAATAATTTGGCACATCAGTGCAAATTGTTAAAGTACCAATTCCCATGAAGATACATATAATAGAAATTTAATAGTATGTAAACAAATAGGAGGAACGAAATATACAGATATTACAATTTTCTTTAACATAAAGAAATACTCTTCCTAATACGCAGATGTATATGACACCATAAAATTGGATTGTCGATAATTCAAATCAAAGTCATTAAACAATCATAATATTTCCGAGACTTACAATGTATCGGTGTGGAAATACAAAATATTTTCCACGCTTACTATCCACTTCCTTGCGAGAGCCGTTTTGAAAGAATGAAAGGCCAACTTTGTGCCAATCATGGGGGAGCCATGTACAAAGTATTCCCGTTTAGTTGTCTAGCCCCAACTCCTGAAGGGGACCCTGAGGGTGGACCATATCTCTCCCCAACATACTCCAGGCTTACTATGGCTAGTAATAAGGATTTGGTACCTCTATTAGGAGCATTAAGGTTTTTCCCTTTATCAACTGGCTCCACTGACTAATTCTCCAGATTCCTTGGCCCCTTTTCTGAACACTGCAACTGTTACCCCCTCCTCAACGGCTACGATCACCTCGCCAAATCATCTATCCAGGTCATTACCTAACCTCAAGAAAATACTCCACATCCCCAGACATTCTCTACAGTACTCCCTCTCCCAGCACTACAGCATTACTCCCTCTTCCACCCATCCCCATCCAAAAACTAACCCCACCTCTACAAACATCTTTAAATACTCTGTTTAGGCCAGCCAAATAGTGATCGATTTTTCGTGATCCGTCTAGAGTCCCTTCATTAGACAACACCCTCCTCTTCCAGCAATGCTTCCAAAAACAAGTTGGCAAAGTTTCCTTCCGTAGGCAATGTGTGTGTGTGTGTGTGTGTGTGTGTGTGTGTGTGTGTGTGTGTGTGTGTGTGTGTGTGTGTGTGTGCGTGTGTGTGTGCGTGCGCGTGTGCGTGTTCGTGTTCGTGTTCGTGTGCGTGTGCGTGTGCGTGTGTGTGTGTGTGTGTGTGTGTGTGTGTGTGTGTGTGTGTGTGTGTGTGTGTGCACTTCTTCCTTTTACAACTTTGGTCTAATCACCCTTGATAGTCCCTAACTTAGCCCATTTACTCACCCTTCTCTACCACCCCTTTTTGCCCCTTTCAATCATGAACTGCTAAGACTTTTGACGTGTAGCACATTTAATCGTCAACTAACGCGTTTTCCTTTCTATAGGGTTATTATATTTTATGTCTGGCCCACTTATTTTGTTTTTTTCAACCATCATCTTTATTAGTTTATGTCGGTGTTTCTTCCACAATGTCCCAGGTAAACCTCAAGCACTATCCACTTGTCGGGTCTTATATCGCCGGTATAATTCATTTGCAACGGCTATGGAACTGAAGATTATTACAATCTACAATATGACAATTTCTTAATTGCACTTATTAAAGTATAACCATGTGAACGTGCGTGTGTGCCTGTGCATATATAAAAATACACATAGAATGGTGGGTAGCTAACAAGCTAGATTCATACATACACAAGTAGATGTGATCCACTTTCCAGTTCAACGTGAATCTGCTGCTGCGTCCAGCCGGCAAGAAAGAGGAGTACTTCGCTCGACCAGCTGAGTTCTTACCCGAGCGGTGGCTGCGCGGCCAGGCTCTGAGATCCATCAATCCCTATGCCTCAATGCCCTTCGGCCTGGGCACTCGAAGCTGCGTCGGTCGGAGGCTCTCTGAGCAACAGACCTACACGCTTCTTGCCAGGGTATGTGTTTGCTTGCATTAGACCTACACGCTTCTTGCCAGGGTATGTGTTTGCTTGCGTTAGACCTACACGCTTCTTGCCAGGGTATGTGTTTGCTTGCATTAGACCTACACGCTTCTTGCCAGGGTATGTGTTTGCTTGCGTTAGACCTACACGCTTCTTGCCAGGGTATGTGTTTGCTTGCGTTAGACCTACACGCTTCTTGCCAGGGTATGTGTTTGCTTGCGTTAGACCTACACGCTTCTTTGCAGGGTATGTGTTTGCTTGCGTTAGACCTACACGCTTCTTGCCAGGGTATGTGTTTGTTTGCGTTAGACCTACACGCTTCTTGCCAGGGTATGTGTTTGCTTGCGTTAGACCTACACGCTTCTTGCCAGGGTATGTGTTTGCTTGCGTTAGACCTACACGCTTCTTGCCAGGGTATGTGTTTGCTTGCGTTAGACCTACACGCTTCGTGCCAGGGTATGTGTTTGCTTGCGTTAGACCTACATGCTACTTGCCAGGGTATGTGTTTGCTTGCGTTAGACCTACACGCTTCTTGCCAGGGTATGTGTTTGCTTGCGTTAGACCTACACGCTTCTTGCCAGGGTATGTGTTTGCTTGCGTTAGACCTACACGCTTCTTGCCAGGGTATGTGTTTGCTTGCGTTAGACCTACACGCTTCTTGCCAGGGTATGTGTTTGCTTGCGTTAGACCTACACGCTTCTTGCCAGGGTATGCGTTTGCTTGCGTTAGACCTACACGCTTCTTGCCAGGGTATGTGTTTGCTTGCGTTAGACCTACACGCTTCTTGCCAGGGTATGCGTTTGCTTGCGTTAGACCTACACGCTTCTTGCCAGGGTATGTGTTTGCTTGCGTTAGACCTACACGCTTCTTGCCAGGGTATGTGTTTGCTTGCGTTAGACCTACACGCTTCTTGCCAGGGTATGTGTTTGCTTGCGTTAGACCTACACGCTTCTTGCCAGGGTATGTGTTTGCTTGCGTTAGACCTACACGCTTCTTGCCAGGGTATGTGTTTGCTTGCGTTAGACCTACACGCTTCTTGCCAAGGTATGTGTTTGCTTGCGTTAGACCTACACGCTTCTTGCCAGGGTATGTGTTTGCTTGCGTTAGACCTACACGCTTCTTGCCAGGGTATGTGTTTGCTTGCGTTAGACCTACACGCTTCTTGCCAGGGTATGTGTTTGCTTGCGTTAATTTGTTTTAGTGTTGGAAGTGGGAGAGTACGAACATAATTTGTATCATCCTCACGCTACTTTGCATCTTTCTCTTTTTTTCAAATATGAAATATTTGTGATCACTTCTACTCTCAAGACACATTTCACACAAGCTAATGAGACGTGTGTATTTCCAGTTGCTGCACAAGTACCGACTGGAGTGGCATTACGGTCCCCTGAACCCCATTATGCTCTTCACTCTCTTCCCAGACAAACCTCTGCGACTTAAGATGATCGACCGTAAAGTCTAAATAATCTTTTTAAAAATAATAGGCCTACATAGCACCACTCGGAAGAATGGCGGACATCAGTAAGAACAGATGATGCAAAGGAAAAAAAAAACAATAACGGGTATACGAAGAAGAAATAAGAAATGTTTGTTCATTTCTCAGTGTTGTTTCATGTCTGTTTTTGTCCTCTTCGTATCATACAAGATCATATGCTGATCACATGATCTTAATTCTCCCCATGCACCCGTGTTGAGATATGTAGTCAGAATAAACTTTCTTTTTATTGAATTTTGCCATAAATTTCGATTAAAAGAGATACCTTCAATACATTACATACTTTTTATAAGTCATCCTCTCTTGGTAGACTACAATTTATTCAAGCAAACCTTTAGTGCTATTATTAGATTTATTAAATATGGCGATTTACGTTTTTCTCTTCAAAGTCACCTACAGCAGGGTGGGTAAATTTTGAACACAGTGCGCCAGTTTATAAATTACTGACATTTTTAAACCACCTTCCGTGCCAATTTTATTCTTTATATAGCCTATGAAAAATGTCATCATAATTATACATTGTATGTAGTGACCAGTGGAATGTGGTAATATATATTTATCTGCACATGTATAACACAAATATAACATTTTTGTGGCATTCACTAATCTTTGTAACTAAAAAAATATATATAAATTTCTGGACACCTTGAGTTTCACTTCCTCAGTGATTCAATGTTATGATGGGGGTTGAGGTTATGCTTATTGTGTGAAAGCATCTGTTCATATTATGTACAGATCCAAATGACGTTAGCAATGCAAAGCTACTTTCTTCAAGCAAATTAAATTATCAGACAATTATCTCCAGGAACTGACTCTCGCTCTCCTTCTCTCGATATTTAGTTTAACTTCTTTTTTCTCCTTCAAATCACGTAGGATGCTATGGGCAAGCACTCTGCCTGCCAAATCAACCTAGAGATATATAGATGTTACTTCTGCCAGACTAGAAAGTCAAAAGATGGAGTGCTCTGGAGGCAGGACTCTCATGAGGGCCAAGAGATAGGGTCCCGTACAGAAGCCTCGAGTCATCAGGCCCCTGCCTTTGTTGGTTTTTGCCGTTACATCGAAACGTGATTCGTCCTGACGCTTTAACAGTTGGCGGTAGAATGTGCTAAGCCAACACTTGCCTGCATAGAATTGCCCGGAACCACCTGCTACGACTCGACTTCCCGAGGATGATACTGGCCTCCAGTGTATCTTCAAGAGGTAATGGCTGAATGAGATCCACAGGGATCGACAAAAATGAAGGGCGGATGCTACAACAGTTAACAGATGTGCCGTTCCTTTAGTCGTCAATGTTTTATGCTTCTCACTGAGTGTCTGGAGGGAGGAAGGGTAATGGAGAGAGGGGAAGAAAACAATGGAGAGTGGAAAGAAAGAAATGTAAAGATTAAGAAAGTAGAGCTGGTAGAGCTGGGAAGAGAAACGTACTGAGTGAGAGGTAAAGAAACAATATCATTCTAGAAATATTTGTCCAGCTTCTGCTAAACCCACCATTGATTAACCGTTGCCAATTTATAAGCAACTATTATTTTACTGCATTTATTGTCTTAATTTTCTCCTTATAGCCTATTAACATAATAGCTTCCTGTATATCAGTAATACCTGTCAATATCTTTACTTTTCGTCTCATTCTTGTTATTGTCATCTGCTTGTTATGTAATATGTTTGATCTTATTTTACATAAATATATACTGTATATCTATCATGAGTGTGCATATGCCATATACACATGTTTGTGTTGTATTTTACATAACTTTTCAAATGTCTGAATTAAAACCATTCACATTTTGAGATTTCTTTTATTTTACAAGTCAGGCCGCACTACCGCCTCTTCCTTCCTTTCCTTTGCACCGTCCAGCCGTCAGCCTCATCCTGTAATTGCTGCTTCTCCAGCTCTGTCAGCTCCCTTTCACCCTGGCCATTGTCACCACCGCAGTCACCGCCGTTTTCATGCAGCTGCAGTTCTGTCAGTTGGTCTGTCATCATCTCATGTGTATCGTCCTGCAAAGAGGAGGTCACAAAAGAATTAGTGAATATGGATTACAAGTACATTTGATGATGCAGCAGGCAGAGATTAATAGAGTAACAAGATAATTACTTCTTAAACACTAATAAGCATGTACTAAACATCACACTCATACAAATATATATATATATATATATATTATATAATATATATAATATATATATATATATATATATATATATATATATATATATATATATATATATATATATATATATATACTCATGCACATTTACTAAATATGGATACATATATCAAATTATATAATCATGGACATGCATGCACAAACACATGCACATAAACACACACAGGCACATACTCATGCTCATGCACACATACACACTGGCATACGCACATGCTTATGCATACGCACACCCACACGCATCCACACACAAACACACACACACTTTATGAAATAACCATTGAATAACAATTGTATTCACTTTTTTAGATTAGGCTATCAACAGATCCTCACATAAAAAAACTACATTATAACAATGGTTCCCCCAAGTACACTTTCACTCACTAATCCACTCACTCACTCATCTTACGTCCATATTAAGATGATTGCATTTTTCACCATAAACTCCAAATAAAGCATTAGGATGTTGCCTTCTCTTGAGGGATTTTGGATTTGGTGCATAAATAGATATAAAGACAACTATGACAAAGACAGAATGTGATTTGCATATCCCATTCTCTATATGTAAATGAGTAATGCATAATCAGTTGTTACTCACCTCGGTTTCATTCTCTGTATCTTGAACCACACATGAATCAAGGTTATATTTTGGCATCTTTTCCAACTCCTCTTGAATTTTATCTTTTTCTCCGGCTTCACTCAACCGATAAAAGCGGCATAGAACTGTGGCAACCTAAAAAATGAAAATAATGATAATAATGATTTTTAAAAAAACTTTAACAATATAATTTTCTTCTGTACAGTATCTACAAAGTATTCTAATCAAGAAGTTATGGAGGTTTCTCTATCAAACTCTACCTCATTTGCCTGAACACTTTATAAATATATATATATATATATATATATTTATATATATATATATATATATTATATATATATATATATATATAATATATATATATATATATATTCCTATAAATGGCAATAAGTCAAGACTTATAAACAGGTGGTTTTAAACAGATTCCAACAGACTAACCTCTAGATCCGAGTCATCTTCAACTAAAGTGTTAAATTCCGAGTCCATTATAGTAGCAATAAAATCTGCCACTTCATCGGGGTCAAGATCCTCTGAAACACAAAAATATTACAATGTTTGATCTTAAAGAAACCAGCATGAAAGTAATCTGTAAATTTATGCACATGTATAGGATAGAAACTTATGAAAGGTTATACTCTCTTGGCCAATTAGAATCTGCACTTTCCACTCCTTTAAAGTTAGCAATGGCAAGATACACAAGCAGACATCTTGTTTACTAGTGAGAAAATAATAGACTAGGGTCTCTTGAAAAATTATCGATGTTGTGGTTTTACATTTGCTAATTAAGTCATGACTTCTTGAAGTAATATCAGGAGGGAGGCAAGTAAAATTCTAGTCATCAATGATGTAAAGAAGGAAGCAGTATTTCATCCACTGGTATTTTCCATAATTCTTTAGTTCTATTTTCTCTACAAACCCCCTTCTGATTTTCCAAACTTATATGTATAGAGCACAGACTTATTAAGCAAATTGTTATATTACTTTTCATGATAGTGAATTTACTGAAATTTTCCCAATCAATATCCAATATAACATGATTTTTTTGGTTTACGAGTCATATAACTCACTGAAGCAAACACTGTCATCTTCTATAAAGAGTAAAATATTAAGTGCAATATTCGCTGTTTAGAGTTTCCCTGAACTTCACTTTAGTTCTGGTTATATCTATTTTACCCCCTTTTTACTCTCTTAAGTTGCCCAGTTTTTCACAAATTTCTGACAAAAACTGCCTTAGAACTGTAGTTGGTTCAATTTTCCACTAACAATATCTACTCCATTTCCATCAGGGCAAGTCTGCGACAAGCTCTTCCTAATCATGCAATAGATAGTGTGGAGAGAAAGTATATTCTTACTGCACTTTTTACTTAATTTCAGTGCTCCCTGCTATAAGGAAATCAGCAATGTTACTTGCCTTGTCCTGGACAACCATTCAAGATTAAAATTCAAAAGTTGGTGACATTAAACTTGACTTTTACAAACAATTAGCTAAAAAAGAAATAAATAAATAGTAGCAGAATCTGCATCAGCTAAACAGCAACCATCAGAGAAACAAAGGTACTTTCTACTCTTCTGCTAGACCTTTTGCTGACAACAGTCTTTTGTTTCGACCTATTAAAACTGAAGACGACTGCAGACTCCTCCAACAAGACATAGATGCCCTGGAACAGTGGGAAAGACTGGCAAATGTCTTTCAGACCCAACAAATGTAAAATTCTCCACTTCACCAGATCTCATACACCAATACACTACACTTACACCCTACACAACCAAACTTACACCTACAGCATCATATAAATACCTCAGCATTCACCTTACAAACAATCTTACTTTCAACACAAACTGATTTCATCAACAAATCAAACAGAACACAGGGGTTTCTGAGGAGGAAACCTACACAACTGGACACCTGGCATCAAACACATAGCTAGGAATATACTTGTACGACCAACACTTGAGTACTGTATGGCTGTATGGGACCCTTACACCAAGCACAACACTGAGAAGCTCAAACAGGTCAGTGCTAGGGACGCAAGGATTATTACACACAATTACACACGTACAACTGGTATTACATCTCGCATAAAAAAAACAGATTAATATGGACCTGCTTGTGACACAAAGACAAGCACACAAACTTACAATCTATACAAGATCACAAACATCCTTATAGACATCAACAAACACAAATACTTACAAGCAGCAAATACACAAAACACAAGGAACTCGCACAACAGTAAATTCGTCACATACCACACCAACACCAAGTCTTACAAGCACTCCTTCTTCCCACGTACCATACGTGACTGGAACAGGCTACCCCAACATATCATTGAAACAAAAACACTCATTGCTTTCACTAACAAAGTAAACAAACACAACACTACAAGCACCTTCTCAAACACCGACACTATCACTTACACCTTAATCCTTTCCCTCACCCCCAGCAACCAACCACAAATGTGTGTGTTATGCTCTTATCAACATCCTACGCATTTTCAAGAGAGAGAGAGAGAGAGAGAGAGAAAGAGAAAGAGAAAAGAGAAGAGAAAGAGAAAGAAAGAGAGAAGAGAAAGAGAGAGAGAGAGAGAGAGAGAGAGAGAGAGAGAGAGAGAGAGAGAGAGAGAGAGAGAGAGAGAGAGAGAGAGAGAGAGAGAAAGAGAAAGAGAGAGAGAGACAGAGACAGAGACAGAGACAGAGACAGAGACAGAGACAGAGACAGAGACAGAGACAGAGACAGAGACAGAGACAGAGACAGAGACAGAGACAGAGACAGAGAGAGTGAGAGAGTGAGAGAGTGAGAGAGAGAGAGAGAGAGAGAGAGAGTGAGAGAGTGAGAGAGTGAGAGAGTGAGAGAGTGAGAGTAAGTGAATGAGTGAGA